AAAAGTCAGAATTCTGCGGGATTAAAGTCAGAATTCTGCGAAAAAAAGTCACAATTCTGAGAAAAAAGTCAGAATTCTGCGGAAAAAAAGTCAGAATTCTGCGAAAAAAGTCAGAATTCTGAGAAAAAAGTCAGAATTCTGAGAAAAAAAAGTCAGAATTCTGAGAAAATTCCCATGTTAAACTGAAATAAAATTTAAAAATCAGTTAACTTTTTTTTTTCCAGTGGCCCTAATCCTCTTCCTCAATTATATGGGTCAAATAGTTGAATAAAAGCATTTGGCACCATTTGGAGAGATTAGGAGACGCTGGTGACACCAAAAGTTCAAAGCCCCACAGCTCTGGAACTGTTGTAGCCAGAGGTCAGAGATTTTCTGCATATGCGGTCAACATGATGTAGAACAAATGTTATACAAAGAGACATGCCTATTATGAAGCATGTGTTTATTACTGCTGTTCAAAATAGACCTATCATTTTCAAAAATAAAACAACAACTTTGTATCATGTTTGAACTGATGCAGCTTAAGCTGTGTTTTACTCGCCCTATTTTCATTTTATATTTTCAGAGATTAGAAGGTGTTAGCTTCCAAATAATGTATCACACGTCTAATTTAGGCTTACAGTTCCTTGGGTTTTTTGCTTTTCCATTTGGGTATGCAAAATAGGCGAGGATCTCTTCAAAATGTGCACCGTGTCTTAATCCTGCATTTCTAACCAGCGGAAATGCAGCAGAGAGGAGCAGATGGCTGATCATCGGAGATAATATAAATCAAAATCAATCTGCAAGATGTTTTAACATGTTTGAGGCAAACTCAGGAGTGCCATATTTCTTGAAAATGATTTCTGTCAAAAGAAGCACGCTATTATTGTGACTGACTGGCTTCCCAACAGACTTTAAATGTCTATATTCCAAGTTTAGTATTTTTTTGTGTTCTGTCTGCTTTTCTGCAAAATGAAAATAATATCTAAAATCATTCCTATTAAAATGCTTTGCTATTAAGTGCTGCTGTGTAAACCTTTTTCATACTACCGGTAAAAGAGATTTTTTATAAATTGTAGTTGAAAATGTAAACAACAATGGCTGAAAGGTGGAGGTTACCATGTTGCTCTGTCTTTTTCCAGCATGTCTGGTCCCAACAACTCATCGGAATGGTCCATCGAAGGACGCAGACTCGTTCCTTTGATGCCGAGGCTGGTCCCTCAGACGGCCTTCACGGCCACGGCTAATGCTGTGGCCAGTGCCACAGCCAATCAGAACGCCTCCTTTCTGTTGCCGGCAGAAACGGGAAACAAAGAAGGTAAAGTTTTAATTTACCGACCAGATGCATGGTATCAAAGTGTTTTACACAGACCAATAAGTTTGGATTCATTAAACAAACTAGACAATAATTAAGGTATTAACATTGTAGTATTGTAAAAGTGATTAAAAACTAAAACTGTTGAATATTTTCAGTTATTTCAGCTCCAAAGTTTAGAAAAAGCTGAAAGTCCAGGTGTTGATAGATTGACGTTCCCAGGTGTTAGATGAAGCAATGTGTTGTCTTCTATTTTGGCTTTCCAGTGGTCGTATGTTACTCCTACACGAGCACCACCTCCACCGCCACCAGCGCCACGGCGACTAGCGGACCTCTTGGAGCGTCTGTGAAATCCCAGAGACCCGCCAGCCCGTCGTCCAATGTGGTCGTGCTGCCCAGCGGGAGCACGGTCTACGTGAAAAGTTAGTGTCACCATCCAATCTATGAGAATCCGCTGCAGTAGAACCTATGTATGGAAGCAAATCGTTACCATATTTCAAATGAAAAAACATTTTCAGAAATGCTTTTTCATTTTAAGAATGTGGCTGCATTGTTTGGCTCATAAATTAATTTAGTAATCAATAATCCTGTTTGCATTTTAATTTTCTTCTTCAACACTGCTCATTGTTTTACTTAATTAAAATGAAAAAGAAGACATTTGGGATTTATTTTTCAAAATGTACCCCAGCAAATACATACCAAAATTCAATTTGAAATGTAAAATTTGAAAATGAAAAAGCATTTCCAGAAATGCTTTTTCATTTTAAATGTGGTAGCGATTTGCTTCCATACCTATAATGATTATTGATGGAGGATAACAAGCTGGATTCCTCCTTAAATAAATTGCATTTCTATTCTGTTCTAAATATCTGTAGTAAATTTATTGTGAATATCTGCTTTTAGACTTTTGGAAGCAAATCGTTACCATATTTAAAATGTACCCCAGCAAATACATACCAAAATTCAATTTGAAATGTAAAATTTGAATATGGTAGCGATTTGCTTCCATACATACGGTATAATGATTATTGATGGAGGATAACAAGCTGGATTCTTCCTAAAATAAATTGATTTTCTATTCTGTTCTAAATATCTGTAGTAAATTTATTGTGAATATTTGCTTTTAGACTTTAAGATAAATAGAGATGATAGAAAATATCTGCTGGTGCAGATTCCCAGTCATCCAGGTCATAATCATTCCAAAAAAAAGTAAAAAAAAAAACAATCCACTTGACTTTGTTTCCAAGTTTGAAGACGTTTCGTTTCCCATCCAGGAAGCGTTATTTTTTTTTTTTTTAGCAAACCTGCATGTTGAAATTGGAAAAGCAGCTCCACCCCTTGATAACGGAAGTCATTGAGGTCGTTTTTGGCCTGCAATACCCGACACTGTCCCATTCCTCTGAAAAGGCAGACCATAGGGGTCATTGTTGGCCTGGATGATATGGAGAGATATTTAGTTCCCCTGCATAGCGATTTAGATGGTTTTGAGAAGGAATCAACTCTATCGCTGCGCTGTAGGTTTCTGACAGCTGGACCCTGGCTCCACCCCCTTCTGTTTAAGGTTGCTTTTTCTCTTTTAACATAAATGGCTTCCTGCACGCCGCTTTCAAACCACCTGTTTTCTTTTTATTTAAAATCTAAACATTTTCTTCCTCAACTCAACGCTAATCCAGACATTTTGAATTGAAAAAGCTTCCTGGATGGAAAGAGAAACATCTTTAAACATGGAAACAAGGTCCAGTGGATTTTTTTTTAACTTGAACTTTTTGGAAGAATTTTAATCAACCTTACATCAGTTGAGAAGCTTCTTATTTTATAATTTTTATATACTCGATATGAATGTCAACAAGGCCACTGAACTCTTCTCAGTCCAGAGTGTCTTTTGCTTAAACCTTTTAAAAGGTTTATATAACATAAAGAAGATTTCAACATAAATATTTTTCTAACAATCCTCTCATTGGCCTGCAGAGGGCAGTATAACCTTCCCTAATTGGAGATTTTTCTCATTCTTCTCTCATTTGCTGCAAAAGTTATTACATTTCTTGATGGAAATAAATGTTTCTAAAATTACATTATAAGTTTTTTAATGGGGAAAAAGTAATGTTAATTAAGTAGTGAAATCTTTAACATGTAATATATTTAAAGATTATTAAGTTAGACTCCTTGGACCTTATACAGTGGCAACAAAAATTTAGCTAAAATAATTAAATAAAAATTAAAAATGATTAATAAATCTCGATTAATAAAGAATTGATTCTTTTAAATATACCTGTAGTAAAAAAAATCCAGGTGTTCACAACTGTTTTGGTTTTTCCACAATAGAATAGCAATGAAAAGTAATACATTTTAGATCTATTTTTCGTGTTATTGGGTGGAAAAATAATGTGCTTTTTTTTTTTAATCACACCTCCAGATTTTTAGTTTTCACAGGAAGAATGTTCCCCGATTTAGCATCATTTATTGTTTTTCTTCCTTTTAAAGCATAGAAATTAAAATAAGATAGTGGTTATTTTAAAAGGATGACAACTTTTTAACGGTAGACGTTTAACAGAGGAATTTATTAAGCTTCACTTAATATTAGAAGCTAGACAAATTTATTTAGATTTACTGAAAGTAAAAATACCTAACTGCACATGCAAACACTGAAGAACACTGAGTTAAATTATCTACAGACAATTCAATGCATATTTTTTTTTAAGTTATTGGGAATAACTGACAACATTTCCACATAAATGCCACCAATTTAGTGTCGCTACATGCAGACAGTATAATTCTGATTAATGCTTTATGTATCGATTTAAGTTACTTAACTCAGCTATTGTTTTTCCAGCATGGAGCTGTTAGATAACTGTAAACTTTGACGATTGATTAACTTCCCTAAATAAAACCAGTATTTGATGCCAAGGTAAACATTTGTTGTCTGTAGCTTTAACCCAGAAAATGCCAGATGTGCACAAATGGGTTTAAAGTCATGCCCATGTTTGGTCACATATCTGGACTAGTTGACCGTTTGCCTCCTAAGGTCATCAATAAGCTTCTCTCAGGGGTTTGCAGATGAAACTTTGAATCTAATTGTACAGATAAGTGATGTCTCCATGTCTCTAACACAGAGGGAACTTGACTGTTAAAGGAAATATTCCAACAGTTTAAAAAGTGAAACCTTTGAGATGTTTTATTGCATCATTTCCTCAACTACCACACAGGCCCGTTTCCACCATTTCATGCACTTTTACTAAACTAGTCGAGCTGTTGCTCCTTTTTCCTGAACGTTTACTTTAACAAAGACAGCTCTGGATTTTTTTTATTTCAATTCAGTTTATTTCTATAGCGCCGATTAACAGTTTTCTATCTAGGAAAGCCAGTTGGTTGCATCAACTTGTTGACTCCCTCACCCTTAGCATGCTTGTAGCGACAGTGGAGAGGAAAAACTCCCTTTGAACAGGAAGAAACCTCCGACAGAACTATGCTCAGTGTGAGCGGCCATCTGCCAAGGCCAACTGGGGTTCAAGGAGACAGAAGCAGA